GCTCAATTGCTTTCTTGTAGTGTTTTCTAGGCTGCTGGGCGCAGTGGGTATGTCTCCACCCATGATTGTACATACTGCTCACAGTCCATGTCTTTCGAGGACTTCATTGGTTTGCTTCATTGCTTTCAAAAGCCTTCCGCTCCGAGGGTTCGAAACCCTGAGCATACAGCTTGATAAAGCTGAAAGTCAATGCCGGGAAAAGCTACTCAGCTGAACATATTGCGCGAAAAGCTCTGAACACCACTACTCCAAACACGCAAAAACGCTTAGCCGAACGATTTTAGCCGAAAGCTTGCCAACCTGCTTCGAACCGGAAAGTCTCGCATGCAAAACGAGCAAAATCAGGCTTACACTTCCGGCCACGATAGCGTGGAACTCTTGACTCCATTTTGCTTTGGCCATGAAATTGTGTGCCGCATCCGAGAGCGCCGCAGAGATGTGATTCCACAGCCTTCATTGCGCTCTTCAAACATGGTACAGACTCTTCGGTCTCGCAGGTGTGTGGCTCTCAGCGGCAAGAAGCACCACCATAAACCCAATGCGCTGGCTATCCACACACCGTGCGTGTAGTTCCTGATGGTGTGTGGGGTGTTCTGCCCAGCAAAATGCAACGAATCTTGAAGATGATAGATTATGATGCGTGGCGGTCGTGATGCTGGTAGTAGTGGCTGGGGTAGAAGTAGAAGTAGAAGGAGTAGTAGTAGTAGTAGTAGTAGTAGTAGTAGTAGTAATAATAGTATTAGTAGTACTAGCAGCAGCAGCAGCGGTAGTCGTAGCAGCAACGAGCACACCACACACTACCTCAAAAGCAAACCCTCCTACGCCGAGGTCTGGCCGTAAGGGGTGTTGGCGAACCCCTCCCACACACAGCTGGCCTTTTTGATTTTTAAACTACTCTTTGTGTGTGTGTGTGTGTCAAGACCTTCTTAGCAGCACCAGCGTCTTGCAAAGTTTTTACGGCCTGTGCATACTCTCGTGCCACTTTTTGGTTTAGCAGTTTCTTCCCTGCCGGCTTTGCACCTCCAGCTACTACTGTATCGCAGTTCGGGGCCTGAGCTTCTCCACCTTCAGCTTAAGGAAAGTGAGCCCCTGCAACTTCTGCCGCCGTCACCGTTAAGCAGCCTATGGAGCCTAGAAGCTGCAGCGGCCAAGCCCGGATTTGGAAAGCGTAGTTGGGAGGGGCGGTGGCTAGTAGTAGTAGTAGTAGTAGTAGTAGTAGTAGTAGTAGTAGCAGTAGCAGTCGTAGTAGTAGTAGTAGTAGTAGCAGCAGCAGCAGCAGCGGCAGCAGTATACTAGTATAGGTCATTGTGGTGCTCGTGAGAGGTTCCACGGTTTAGCTTAGCCAGCCTTGTATCCTCACCTCAGTTCGTTCTCATTATCGTCCTCATCGGTGTCGCCATCATCATCATCATCAGCATCGCGATTGCATGGCAAGAACGGTGAGACGGACTAGCACCATCGCTCTTCCCTCTCTGACTATGGCAGAACACCTCCTCGCACTGGGAAGGGAAGTCTGAGGAAAATCCTGGGTGCGGGAGTTTATCTAGTCCGGCTCGGTATTGAGCTGCTGTGTGCTGGTTATCCAGACCCTGCTGCTTCCCTTCTTGTGCAACTGGACATTGCCGACCGTCTTGGCCCTCTGGCAACACGTTTGAATTCAGGCAGATGATTGGCACTGGCCTTGGCTCGGATTCACGTAGTTGTGTCCTGTTCTTATGATGCATGATGCTTGGAAGCCCGATCAATCCTCAGGAAGACAAGGAAACAAGGCAGGAATTTGATGCCGACAAGCTTTGATCCGCAACCACAACACTAAACCCTTTTCTATCCTGTTCTACTACCCAGCTCAGGATCCACAATTCTTTACCGCGGGGGCCGTCTCCCACTCCGTCTCCCCACCACATGCGCAACTTTCTGAGCCCGTATTCATACATCAAGGGAACACAACAGAGTCTTAGCCGTTACCCACGGAACTATGTGTTCTCAGTGTAGGAAGACCTTGACGCTCCAGACCCAGCAGACCAAGGCAGGCTCCAACCAGCCCATCGTGCCAAGCAGCGGCCCAAATGCCCGGAAAGGGATCCACGGAATTGACCGATGCTAGTGGCGTGCCGGTATCTTTTGAAGGGGTCCGTTCGAGGGTCTACGCAACACGTTCATGTTGGTGACTCTTTGGTCTTCTGCTTGCTGTGAGACTTGACATCATGCCGTATCACACGGAAGGACTGCATCGGCTCCTGAAGCAGTCAATGGAATCTGATACTACCGTGGCATTGGCAACAACAGCTAGCAGGGCAATCAGCATTATCCAGCACCGTGAGTGACCCCTTTGAGAACGATAAGAGGACCAACAACAAATCTTAACCCGTTGTCGCCGTGGCCGTCGCCGTCCTCCTCCTCTTCCTCCTCCTCCTCCTCCTCCGCCTCCTCCTCGCCGTCGTCGCCATAGTCGCCGTATTGGTATTAGTGATGCGGCTCTCGTTCTTGTTCTTGCTATTGCTAGTGTTCTAATTATGCTTCCTCTTCTTCGCAATCTTGTTGCTTGTGCTATGGTTACTGCTTTGTTCGGCTCTTCTTCTTCTTCTTGCTGCTGCTGCTGCTTGTGCTGATGGTGTCGCTGCTGTTGCTGGTGCTGTGACTGGTGTTGTGGTTGTAGTTGGTGTAGTTGTCATCGTTGTTGTCGTTGTTGTTGGCGGCAGCGGTGGTCGTCGCTGTTGTCCTGGTCTGGTCATTCCTGGTCGTGCTCGGGATCGCGCTCACTATCAGCAGCAACAGCATCACCATTGTTGTCAACATCACCAGCGTCATTGAGCTGGCAAAGAATGTAATGACAGTCGCAGACCTTTGGAACAGCCGTAGCAGTACCCTGGTGGCTTGGGCATCCTGCCTGAAATTAATGTTGGTGGACGCATGATAACCACGCGCCCGTACCAGCCTCACTTGAGAGAGCGCAGCGCACACTCTCCACGTGACAGACAAGCCGGTCGAGCTTTGATCTTCATCTGAGTCGGCAGCAAATTGCTACGCTCGCAGCACTTTGACTGTCAACACCTTGCAATGGTGAGCATGTGGGCTTTGGGGAAGGCAGCACTGCAGCTTGCGAATTTTGAGTTGGGATCTGGGAATTTACAGCTTCATCTTTTTCGGGTCGCTAGGGAGTCTGTCTACGCATGAGCCATGTCTGTGGCTGAGGTTTAGGATGGCTTCAGACGTCGCAGCCTGCCAGGCATCGAAATAACAAATGCTCACACTCTGACTGCCGCCCGGAAGAGATGCTGCCACGACCCCGCGGCACTTCGACAGGTGCGTTGGAAGAGACTGCTGGGCGGTCCCTTGCCTGGTCTCTCTGGCACTGGTCCACAAGCTGGGCGACATCTTCGCGGACACCATTCACCTGTTCAGGCGATCTAGCTCTTACGAATGGCGGATCGCAGTGGGATGCGAGACTTTCGCCCGCAGACTGCTGTTGCAAAGGGAAGTGTGCGCCCGATTGGACTCGAGACACGTGCAGCTCGCAGGTTCTTTTTCAGCTCGCAGACTGGCACAGGGCCTGCTTCTTCTCTTAACTTGGGGCATTCCGTGTCTCGGCCCAGGACAAACAGGGCGTCAGCGAGCTCCGCACTTCAGGCTTAAGCTCTTCTTTATTTCGTTCTTTCCACCGGGGCACGGAAACGTAGGAGGCCACAGGGTCGGACTCTTCACTTTGGAAGACAGAGACCGGCCCCACGTCTGCACAGAAGCTTTACAAGTAGCTGCTTTACTCCACCGAGGGACGTTTCAGTCCGCGAGACTTGTCCGGTGACCGCGGCTCCGCAGTGCCCCGCGACAGGCAGAACTTCTCGGAGTCGGGCATGTGGCAGCGGCGCGGCAGAGTCTTCCTCGACAGCTTGGGCGAGAGTGCAGGAGGTGCTTGGGTTTTCCAGGCAGAAAAGGGGCTGCACCAGTGCAGATAGGATCGGGGTTCAACACCAATCAATTTAGCCAACTCACGGGGCAGGCTCGGATCCACCACTCCGCAAAGCTTGAGAATACACCTCGAAGGATTTAAAATTCAAACCGTACAAGAAAACCCCGAAGTCATAGCACCAACGGTGGGCAAACCTTTCCCCCGTGTAACCGCTCTGTACAACTCAAAATCGGAAGGCCTAGCACAACCGTGCCCTACCATGCAGCCGTTGACAATTTGGTGCAGTCTTCAAAGTCGATTCCGCCGTTCACAAGAAGTCTCTCTTCCCCCATGTAACCGCGCTGCATGCACAAGGGCATGGGCATATCACATCCAAGGTCAACATAGCGCGAGGAGGAAGGATTGTGTGTTCGGCACAGATCAAAGTGGCAAAGATCTCCCTTTGGAAACATAATCGTCGACAGAAGAGCTACGTAGTAGGTATCATCTCATCTTTGCTCCTTTCTGCCCCAATGATTTCCTAAATCGCTTATGCCAACACCTTAATCTGCAAAGCTTCACCAACTCACACTCCAACAGATGTCCCAACCACCCGGCAATTGAACTAGAGTGGTGTTACCAGTGTGACAAGGGAATGTTACTATGCACGGATCTGATGAGATGTGTTGCGACTTCGGTAGTGCCCTGCATGGGCTCCTGATTCAGGGTTAGTCAGACGCCTACGATTCTCCACCCACGAACCCGGCCTGGTCGTTGGGCTTGTCCACCAGAGCGTGCTTCCAGGACTCACCTGTGAAATGAGGCTTGTCATACACCTCTTTTAACTGAGATGACTGCCGATTTGCCTGGTTGCACCTTTTCACCAAAGTCTGACAAATGCCCCCCTTTCGGCTTCCCCGGCCCAGTCAATGAAGTCGCCGAAAGTCGCAGTGCCGGCGAGTCAAGAAGGTCTCCTCTGCCTTGGAGCAGCTCCGTTCTGTCCACGAATGTGGCGACAGCCTCCTTGCCGTTTCTCTCCTACCCGACTCTTGCTGGAAACCATCGGGGCAAGCTCAGACTCAGACCGCTTCTTCAACGCTCGGGATCCTCCGCCTCAAGCTCGCGTGAAGACAGCCGCGGGATAGGCAGCTTGCACACTCCTGCGCACATTCACGACTTGGTTCACCCACCCGCGACCAACGCCAAGCACGGCATAGGATAGCCGCATAGCACAGCCGAAGGAGCGTCACCCTGACAAAGGCCAGGTCCTACATCTGACAACCCTCAGTTCTTTCGTCAGAACCCAGGCTCCTCCAAACGCCGTCTAGCTCTCGCTGAGCCTTCCGGTCGCCAGCTGTCAGCCGTCGGATTAGCGCCTGCTTGGCAACAGCATGCAACAGCCAAATGCATCCGGTGGGGCACAGCTTAAGGTCCCTTGCAAGTGTCGCCTACGCAAATGCACCAGGCCTAGATGTCGCACCGTGCCGCGGGCTAGCTTCCTAGGTCCTAGACTAGCTTTCCAGCGTGCACAAGGGGTACCAAGCGGAATGATGCAATGATTTTGGGGTCCATCAGTCCCAAGGCACTCTGCAGCGAGATACAAAAGTTGTCTCGATCCATCCATGCAAACCAAACTCCACGTCGAAGTGTTGCAATCAGAATGCAGGGGTTGGGGCCAAAAGGCTCCTACGTTTCAATAGCAGAGTCTGCCCTGCATTCACTACGACAGACTTGGCCTCCAGGGCGACGAACTCCTTGGTGTCAACCTGACGCTGCGGCCAGGTTCGGGCAACAAACATGAGAAATGATGTAGGTTTGTCACTGTTCTCCGGAGCTTCGACGGCATCGAAGATGTGTTGCACACGAGTGGCCATCAACATTCGGTGTCGTGCTGAAGGAGGCCATATGTCCAGAAACGCAATGGTTCAAAAGGTTTCACTGACAAAGGAACAAGATGGAACAAGGCTATAACTTTGACAACCACAGATGCATCGCAAAGATGTTTTGCTGTGGAGGTGCCGGCTGCGGTTTCAGGCTGCCCGATGCCACTTTGGGATACAGCTCCTCATGTCACGTCAGGGCAGCTTTAGAGCCTCCAGAAATGTAACGACATTTATTGCCTAAATACATCCAAATCGAATGCAAACGATGGTACTGGTTCTTGTAAATATTTGTAAATCAGAACCGCCACAGGTCCAAAGCCGCAGTCCACCGAAATATCATCAGACTTTCACAGGATCTTGAAAGCAACAAGAGCAACTAGGTTCTACAAGCACTACCTCAGCCTGACGACCTAACTCCGCAAACCAATGATGCGTGCTTCCATGCGTGTGCAAAGTGCGTCCTGAGGATCCGGGTTCCGGAAGTCGGACTCCTGATGCCCCGAGCCGGATACATCATCGGGTTCAGCGAATCACAGCCCAAAGCTTCTCCGATCGTGACCTCTAAACGTGGGGACCCGTCTTCCCTCCAGAGCACGGACCTTCAACTTTTGGATGTCCGCGACCTCAGCGATTTTACTTGCAATGTCTACTTAGGCAGACTGCCCTTCTGTGTCACTCCTGTCAGAGTGCTCACTGGCTAGGCCGCTAGGCTAGACCAAGCACCCTGGACTAAGCGAGAGCTGCAGCACTGCATGCATTCCCACCGTGCTGCCCAGTCACCTCTGCCCACATAGCACCAACGCTCTCCTTTGCTTGCGAGTTTTGCATTCAAACGTATTCAAACCATTCCACGACTGCAGAACCAAGCTCTCGATCATCCGGACACGAACTCTTAGGAAAGAAGCCCAGTCGGGAACGCTTTTCGGCTCGGCGTGGGCGTCATCCTGGAGGTGCGCAGCAGCTCGGGGCTTCCAAACCACCAAACTGCCCTTCCCAGGTCCTCGGGCTCGGCCAGGAAGACCGCGCGCAGAGTGTGGTGGCTGTCGACCATCAGGCGCAGCAGCCCTGGCCACTTGCCGGTCTCGGGGTTTGGAATTGGCTTCGGGGTCCATGAGGCTTTCGGCTGTGGAGTTCAGCGATTTGGAATTGGGGGGCTTTGCAACCTGCGGCGGGAGTGTCGCTGCAAGAGTGGGTGTGTTAGGCCTGTTTCCGGGCTGGAATCGAGAGCACACGTGACATGTGAAGACGTCACGCATCGGGTAGCCGGCCTGTGACTTTCACAGAAATGCCGGCTTCCTCCAATGCCTCACGTCGGCAGGCCTTGGCGAAGGGAAGAGCAGGCTTTGAGGCTTGCGGCGAAAGCGGAAGACGAGTTGGCTGATGCCGGGAGCACGGGGCCACGGCCGTACAGGTGAGAAAGCGAACCATTGACCCAAGGAGCCGCCTGAAACTTCTCCAAAAGCTCTGTATGTGCACATGACATCCCCCAAAACCAAGTGCTCCGAAATGAAAACGGGATTACTCAAAGCACAGAAGGAACGCTGCGGGCCTCTTGCAGCGACTCGCCGCGGTCGACGCGGCCGGCAGGCAACCAGAAGTTTGGTCGACCCCCTGATGTCTGCTGGTTTCCACGCTTACAAGGGTTTTCGATTTTTTAGTAATCCTGTGTCTGCCTGTGGCTTGTCGGGATTTCAGGCTTTGGAACCGGGGTCTCTAGATTGTTGCTAGTCTGCTATTCGACCCTGAATTAAGTTGCAGCTTGGTGCTCTTACAACATCGGATGCTGTCGCGTCGCCATTGCACTGAAGACGTTGCCGTCAGGACTTTCGATGATGTCAGGATGACTTAGCGCTTGAAGAGACTTTCGTGTGCTACTCTCGAACTTGGTCGGGATCATGTTCTGTTGAGAAGTCCATCGCTCTTTGCTCTCATAATTTCCACCACATGCCATACATCTCTTTCAAACAGTGCCCCAAATCTGATCAGAGTTGTACGGGCTTTGCTCATAGGACTCGCCAAAATTTGGTTGGTATGGTTTCGTGTTGACGCGCCGTTGCTCTATGGAAGCCCAGCTTGGATAATGAACCCAGCGGCCGGCGATTCCCGAGGGCTCGTTCACGAGCCTTGGTCACATGCTTTTACTAGGTTCCTGAGTGACCTCGAAATAATAAGGGTACCCTTTTTCCTATAGTTGGTTTTGAATAAGGAGACCCCAAAGTAAAAAGGGCAAAAGGGTACTACTCAGGAACCTAGTTTATGAGGTCTGACCATCCTGGTCTTCGTAGTTAGTGAAAAGAACCTGATCGCAGCCTCCCTGTGCCCAAGCCATGGCAAAGCTCACACCGTCTGACTGCACTACTTTCATGCAGCGCGACATCCCTGGCTTTCGCGCCGGGGCACAGAAACCGACCGTCGAGTCGACGGCAAACGCACCATGCCTTACGACTGTCCGACCCGGGACGGCCCTTCGGAGAGTAGAGCATGCAAGAAGTGTGCCTTGTCATGCCAAGGCACGAATGTCGCATAGGGAGCCCTTGGCGGCTCCCGCTCTGCCGGCCTGTAGGAAATCCAGGGCTCCAGTTTCGCATCTCTTTGCATTGCGATTCTAAGCGCATTGCAACACGATGCTTAAGGCGTCTGAAGTAGAACGGTCACGCATGTAAGGACGCAGTCGTTAAGACCCCCTGCGTTGGTTCGAACACCCTCTGAGTCTCCCGCGGACCATGGCTGTTGTGAAGGTGAACGGCCAAATTCGACGGCCGCTCTGCACAAATTGGGCACGGATCCTTCGTCCGCTGTATTTCGGCTTGGAGGCAGCCTTGTCTTCGTTCTTGCGGCTTGAATTCCAAGGGCCTCCGGGCCAGTTTGTGATCGAGGTCTGAATGCATGGATGCTCGTCTGTACGTAGGCATGTATGCATACAATCTACACAGATACAGACAAACTTGCATTCACAGATGTCAAAGCATAGACCATATCTTTAGCGGTAGTCTTTCCTGCTTGGCCAAAACCTGCTCCGACTCTCTCTGTCGGGTGTTGCTCCGTCCAAGCTTTCCCTTCAGAACCCTCGCTGTCCTCCGACACGGAATCAACGGCATGGTGGAAGTGCATGTGCAAGTGCAGCGCATTCTCCTAAGTGCTCTACGTCTAATTTTCAGCTCGGCTGACAGCCGGGGTCTTGGAGGCGGATGAGACGGTAACAGAACCAGCAACTCCTAACAATTTCACTGTTGGTTTTGCATTAGAGGTAGGAGCGTGGGGAAGTGTAGCGTAGTCTTTGGTCGCCCGTACCCTTCACATCCAGAACTGCGTTGACTGCGCGTTTCTGAAAGGTAGCCTATGATCCTCCTCCTTCAGTACTCAGCCTGTCAGACTTCCTACCGCAATGGCATGGACCGTCCGTTTTCAACCAAGTCTCTCAACTGTCCTACTCAGTCCTACTCTTGTGACCTGTGAAACAAACGCAGGACGACACTCTCCGTGCCTGTTGGATTCCTATTTCCTAGCCCTGGTGCTGCAGCCATCCCTACAGTCAGAGATCCTGCTGTGCCTTGTGTTGTCTGGCCGCCCGCTGCAAAAGATCAATGATTCCAAAGCTTCGCCTCACCTCGCGCTCGGTGTGCTACTCAAACCCAAAGCCAATGCCCTTTGCTCTGAAATCATCAAGTTCCCAACCCAATTCTTCAGCCCGAGGGCCGACAGCGGGCTGAGTCCGCACGCCGTGCAAGCGAAGGGTCCGGAACTGCTGAAAACCGCAGAGACCTGCGTGCAAATATGCGGCTTCACTTTTGTGTCTTGCTACTTGCAGCTCTTGTCCCAGTTGTCTGCAAAACACTGAGAGCCAAACCTTCATTTGCCCAATGATTCTTGTTGTCGTCCAACCGAGAATATCAACTTCCAGTAGGGAATGCCGGCCTTGGCCAGTGCTTCCTTTACAGCAGCGACCGACGAGGTGACCTGTCACCGCGAGCTCTTTGGACAACAACCTTAACCACAACTTCTCCTACTGCTGCTGCTGCTGCTGCTGCTGCTGCTGCTGCTGCTGCTGCTGCTGCTGCTGCTGCTGCTACTGCTACTGCTACAACAACAACAACTACTACTACTACTACTACTACTACTACTGCTACTGCTACTGCTGC